TGTAGCTGTTTCACCCTGCTCTGACGCCGTCATCTTCGAGCTCAGCGTCCTCAGCTCCTCTGTAAACGTTTCTTCCTGCACAGCTCGTACTATCACAGTTTCGGCTTCTTCGAGTTCTGTCACAGTCAACGGGCGGTCAGGTGACGAACGCCGCCCCAGGAGTGCGTCCTTGTATCTGAGGCAGAGTGCGACTGCTCTCTTGGCTCGGTGCCAGTCTGAAAAGCGTTCAAGCCTTTCCGTCAAACTTGCAAAGCGAACCGTCTCTGACGTGGTCGTCTGAAGTGTCACGGCAGTCTGAGCCGCGCGTCTCACCTCAGGATCTTTCTGGTCCAGAGTCGTGTCAAGATCTCGTCCCGGCAGCGGGTTGGTGCTTCTGAGAAATGGAGGTCCATTCCACCACAGATCACTGCTCTCCAACTCTGCAGCACTCGCGCCCCTGGAGGCCAGATCAGCTGGGTTCAACTTAGTCTCCACGTGCAGCCACTGGTCCTTTTCGGTGTGATCCCTGATCTGCTGCACTCGGTTCCCTACAAAGACATGGAACCTTCTGGCGTCGTTCGAGATGTAGCCGAGGACCACTCGGCTGTCTGTCCAGAAGTACTCTGCCAGGTCCTCGATGTCCAGCTCTTCTCGGAGAAAGCAGCTCACCTGGACCGAGGTCAGGGCAGCAGTGAGCTCGAGTCTGGGCACCGTCACGGGTTTTGAGGGAGTGACTCGGGCCTTGCTCATCACGAGCCTGCAGCAGACCCGATCCTGCTCATCAATGAGACGCAGGTAGCTGCACTGCCCATAGCCGTGCGTACAGGCGTCTGAGAAGTGATGTAGCTCTGTCCGCTTCACGAGGCCGAAGTCGCTCGTCCTGTAGCACCTTGGAATGCGCAATGACGACAGTGCCTCGAGCTGAGAAGTCCAGTCGCCCCAGCGCGTCAGGATATCATCTGGAACGGGATCGTCCCAACCGAAACCGTCGCGGCAGAGCTCCTTCACGATCTGCTTACCCCTGAGGATGAAAGGCGAGACAAAGCCTAGGGGATCGAACACTGAGCTTACTGTGGACAAGATCCCCCTTCTCGTCGATGGCTTCTTGCAGGGTTGTACACTGAACTGCAGAACATCTGTCTCGGTGTCCCACTCGACACCCAGAGCTCGCTGGACTGGCAGACACACCGTGCCAACATCGAGACTCTGCAGCTCTGAGCAGCGGCTCTCGGGTGACACCGACTCCAGCACCTTCACGCTGTTGGAGAGCAGCTTGTGGAGGGTGAACCCGCCACGGGTACACATTTTCCGAGTTGAGTCGATCAGGTCGATGGCTTCATCTTCACTGTCAACAGAGGTCAGACCATCATCAATGTAAAAATTCTTTCTCACAAACTCGGCTGCTTCTTTTCCTTCTGCGTCTTCGTACATGTCAGCAGTCTTCCTGAGCGCGAACATGGCGCACGCGGGTGATGACCTTGCTCCAAACAGGTGGGTAGTCATTCGGTACTCCTGTGGTGCCTGTTTCAGATCTCCGTTCTCCCACCACATGAACCTCAGAAAGTCCCGATCTCTTGTGTCTACTCCCACCTGGTTGAACATGCCTTGTATGTCGCATGTCACGGCTACCTGGTTCTTTCGAAACCGACAGAGTATGCCGGTTAGACTGTTAGTCATGTCTGGTCCCTGGAGAAGATGGTTGTTCAGGACCTGCCCACCGAATTCCGCGCTGCAGTCAAATACGACGCGAATTTTACCGGGTTTCTTGGGGTGGTACACCCCGTGGTGCGGCAGGTACCAGACCCTTCCATTGTCCAGCCGCAGCTGACCTTCTGGGACCTTCTCTGCATGTCCGTTGGCCACGGTAGCCTCCATGAAGGTCGTGTAGTCACGTCTGAAGGCTTCGTTCCGGACCAACTTCGATTTGAGTCCTTTCAGGCGCTGCATGGCAACGGCCTTGTTGTTGGGCAGTCTCACATCTTCTTTCAGGGGGAGAGGCATCTCAAAATGCCCATCTTCCCTCTGACGAGTTCCTTCCGTCATCTTCTTGAGAAACAATCTGTCCTCCACAGACTGCGGTTTGTCCATCTTGGTATCTCTGAAGTCTTGCTCGAACAGCTGAGCCACTTGCATAGGCGTCATCTCTCGGGCAGCAGTTCTGAAAGCGAAGTGACACAGCCTTCGCTCGCCTCTACCAGCGTCCACGTACTGGCAGGCAGTCATGCTTGTCCTGGAGTCAGACACCGGGCCGACAATGCCCCATCCTAGAGCACTTCTCACAGCCCAGGGGTCATCATCCTCTCCAGTGACAACATCTCTTGGCTTCACTGCCTTGGGGCAGTTTGCCCCGATGAGCAGTCCGATCTCTGCAGTTGGGTAGTGGAGAGGCAACTCGTCAGCAATGGACTGAAGATGTGGCCACATCCTAGCTGTCTTCCGTCTCGGGATGCAGGACCTGTCTGCCGGTATCGCCTCTCTTGAGAAGCACTGTGGGAGTTCGACAGTGCAGTCACCTTGTGTCGACTCCATCACCAGATCCTGGACAGCTGAGCTTGATACCACAGATGGTCCACTCACAGTCTTCAGCTCCAACGAAACTTGCTGACCTTTGGCACCCAGTGCTGCGCAGGTTGAGTCTGATACAAAACACGCATCGGACTGGGGGTCCAGGACTGCATAGACCAGGACCTTCATGTCAGGATTAGACTTGTGGTGGACATACACAGGAATGATCATGGAATGGATGCAGCCTGGACGCCCGTCTCCAGCCTCAGACGCCACGCGAAGAGATGTGGCTTCCACTCTGGGCTGACCTGCTTCGCATCCAGCTTGTCTCCTTGTTCCTTGCTGCTTGTCCTGTCCGACTGAGGTTGGAGCGGTGAAGGTCTCATCATGTAGAGCGGTTGGGTGCCTTCTTCCGCAGGTCTCACAGTTCCGCTTCTTCTGACAGGATCGCCAGATGTGACCCCGCTTCAGGCATCCTCGGCACAGACCATGCCTCATGACAGCTGCTTGTCGCTCCTTCAGCTTCATCCTGAGGAACACCTTGCACTTGTCAACTGGATGAGGGACAGGTACGGTTTCAGCAGAAGCACCCTCAGCACACACAACACAGCCATGAGTAGCAGAGCGAGGGGCGCCGTCTCTTGAAGCTGCAGTCGCACCGGTTTGGAGAGCTCTGGCCACCCTCCTGTCTCCACGTCCACCCTCCTTCTCATCTCGTGTGACAGGATCTTGGATAGGTCCACAGGCAACTCTGGCTTCCTTGGACAGGAATCTCACAAACTCCCAGAACCGAGGAAACCCTGCCGTCTCACCTTCAGCTGGCTCGTAGAGCCTCTGGTCTACATACCTTCTCCAGCGGTCAACAAGAGGCTTTGGCAGCTTCTTCAGCATGATGCTGTTCTCGTGCTGGTCATCCAGCACTCGCAGGTGGCCAGCTGCACTTGACGCAGCTTGGCACTGCTCCAGGAAGTCAGCAAACTCCCTTAGCCCCTTTCCATCTCCGCTTCTTATGGCAGGCCAGCTACGGATTCTGTTCTTGAGTGTTGATGCCTTCACAAACTCATTTCCATACCTGTCCATGAGCTTGGTCTTCGCCTGCTGGTAGGCATTTTCACTGCGAAGTTGAAGATATCCCATGATTGCATGCTTGGCTTCTCCTGCGGTATACTTGCCAAGGTAGTGAAGGCGTTCAATCGGTGAGCTGGTTCTGTGCTCGATGTAAGTCTCAAAGCCCTTGAGCCAGAGGTCAAACTTGCCAATGTCATCATGGAAAACATCTGGCTCCAGTGAAGGAAGATGATTCTGCCTCACTTCCTCCCTCAGGAGGTTCACGAGATCTTCAACCACACCTGTGTTCTGGTTTGAAGCCACTCGGGATTGCTCAGTTTCTTGACTGGGTCGTACCACAGTCGCTTGTAGTTGTTGACCTTCCGCTTTCTCTGCTTCTTGGCCTCTTCTTACACCATCATTCAGTTCCATTTGGTGCATCACTTGTAGCCTTTCTGCAGCTGCATCCGGTTCAGGTCGACATCCTTCAGCACTGTTGGTGAGCTCTCTTTCAAACTTGTCAATCGCTCTTGTTCTTGCCTCACTCACAGTGAGTTCGGTCATCAGTTTGTCCTCTTCTTCTTCATACTGCATTTCAAGTTTTCTCTTGTTCAGTTCAAGTTTCTTCTTCATTAGGGCAGCTCTTGTTGCTAACTCGGCTTGTCTTGTCATTTCTTTCAGCCTTGCAGAGCTTGTAGTCGAGTCACCTGACTGACGGCTTACCCTGGTCGATAGAGCTGTTCTGGTGGTCGCAAACAGGTTGGACGCACTGTCTTGTGGTTCCACATCATCAGCTGCCTCTACTTGTTGAACAGTACTCAGGAACTTGATCACTTTTGCTGAGACTGCATCATTTTCTTCAAGTTGCCTGGAGTGTCTGTCCGCATGGTAGACAACATCTTCTGGAGGTAGTAGCAACCGCAACCCTTCATCAGCCGCCACCAGATCTTGGCAGAGCCCTTTCCATTTGTCGTACTCACTTCTGACTTGCTCGTGCCTTTCATTCTGTGATACTGCTGTGCACAACTTCTGACCTGATGCACGGACGGAACTCAGTGCACGCTTGTACAGCTTCTGCTTCATGCCGAGCTGGTACTGTGCACCCTTCTCTGTGGTCCTCCGAGCCCTGGCTCCATCAGACAACTCGTCTTGACTGTTATGACCATCCATCATCAGGTAGGTAGGTAGGTATCACAGCCAAGACAGGATTGAAGACCATGTGCTAACTACAGGCAAGTACGGAGTGGGTCAACAGGAATCAGCTGGTCAATCATTGGTCAGTACTCGAGTTAGTCAAGGGCAGCACCATCAGTGGGCAAATACGAGTCAGTGGGTAAGTACATGGTTAATCGACTTTGCCAAACACTACTCATGGCAACAAAATCAATACAATTCATTTACTCTACATCCCACTAGGGATACGTCAAAACTGAACCGGCCTTCATACGCCAGTGGTGAAAAACAAAGGATAAAATAAACTACATGTATATAAAAGATAACAAATTGGCAAACAAAACAAAAGACACTAAATCAACGATGAGCATCAGCCATAGCTGTCCGTAGTGGCTCTGGTTCTTTGGTACTTTGGCACGTACTTAGGTACTGGTACGTTTTGACCTGTGGGGCAAAATGTGGCCGCTGTCACACAAACTGGCGCACTCTCCCGACCCACAGCCAATCGATTTCTAGTCATATAACACATTTGCCCTATTTAAATTGCGGAACCAACGAGCTCACAGGGTACACGCATCAATAATATATGGCAAAAACATGAAACACATTAGAAAAATAAATAACATACGTTTCTCCCTCGTGGGCTGATCAGTTCAACGGAAATAAGGAAAACGCGAGGGAACGTAAACAATTGTGAAACGGAAGTGAGAGCGAGCGAAAATGACGTCACAAGATCGGCTCGACGCAACCAAATTAAAAACACGCCGTACCGGCGGCCACATGCGAGATTGCGGTAATTTGTAGTATTGTGGCTGAGGGTATCCCACGTAAGGCTATTATCAGCGGCTATTTACTCATTTGGAATCTGTTTGTAGTTCGTTAATTCTAAAAGTTCGCTCATTACCCCATGAAAGTCACGGTGCCTGATCTTTGTTTCGTAAGTGGCTTATGTGACTACAATGTTGACTTCAAACCAGCTTCTAGAAATTTCCTAGATCTTTTTTATCTAAATTCTTGCCATTGCGTTGTCTGTGTGTTTATGATATTGCAGTAGCCGAAATATGTCCGCACACTTATCCATGAGATACTTTGTCCTTGCTTTGTCCCACATAGTACCTCACGCTGTCTTGGGCTACACCATCCATCGCAGCTTTTCTGGGTCACAAACACACACCATGATGGGGCGCATTACCTGGCTATCTTAGTTCAACAGCGTGCCCATTTTGGACAGCTGAGTATACAGTCGGTGTAGGGACTCCGTCAGCCGACTCTCTGAGTGGAAGATCGACCCTCACTAGAGAGCGTGGAAATGCGCCTGAAACGATCTGCGTACCGTGATTTTGCCATTGCGGGCAGAATTCCGTTAATTTATTTTTTGCGTTTTTTTTTTGACGCAGTTTGGTTGGTATTTGGTAAATAATTAGTGTCATTTCGATCCTGATCTGGCGTCTACCACTTACTCGGATACATAATGATTTGGGCTAGCAGATGTACAGGGTGTCTCAAAAGTTCGTTCACACATTTCCCATGCCAATAAAGCATATAAGAACCAGCCAAAAGTATAAGGTTTTGGTGTCTGTGTGTACACTAGACAAATATGCATGCTTTGACAACTGATTAAGAAGGTTGGAAACCAACCCCTTTGCTGTATCTCCAAAAATATTTGCCCATACCGATTTTTGTTGCTCCGTCAGCTGCCGGAGGCTGATAAAAGGTTACCAGCTTTCAAGCTCTTGCAGGGGAATCACCTGCAGTTTCTGCCTCGGATTTAGTTTTGACTAGCTCCCCGGCAACATCTGATTTTCCCTGAAAGCCGACAGCTTGCATCGACACCATTCTTGAGTATTTTGTAGGCATTCTCTGGCGCTAACTCCTTCATGATTGACTGGCGCCGACATCCCAAGCGCCATTTTCCTTTTCAAAACGACCCCAGTCCTGAACAAACGGGAAGTGCCAGGAGTAAATTTTTCGCATCATATGGTAGCAGAACGTGTCGGACGTCTGTTTCTCAGACACATTGTGCAAATTTGGCAAATTCCAAGCGCTCGTCATTCCCCATGCCAAGACCTTCGCTCGGTTGCGGAATGTTTTCCTCGGGAGATGTTCTGCTTTGTAAACGGCCCAAACCTGTCCATCGTGTGGTTTTATCAGGATTTTGTGTTTAAAAGAAAATTATTCGCTGCAGACCTGCCTCTTGAAACTTCGTTAGATAAAATTTTACAATAACTGACACTTTTGGAGGGTCAGGTGTCCTTGGCATTGACGATTTTTGTGTTATTGTCCCCAAAAATTATCGTTATAGATATTATAAACAATTTTAAATTATAATTTGTCTTTATTTTACGATGACCTGCACTTTTTGAAAATGGGTAACCTCTGTCTGTGACCTTCTTGCCAGTTTTCAATAGTTATGACCGCATTTTCAGCTGCTTTCCGGAACACGAGTCTGCTGTCGTGCGAGGGTCGTTCAAAACGCCCTTAGTCTCGCATGGTTTCGTCCTTCAAAAATTTTAGCCACCGTTTTTATGAGATGATCATCATGTTGCACTCATCCTCGCCGACACTTAGCCATGTGTCATTTCCGACTTAACCATTCCCATTACTCCTGAAACAGAGAGTTTCACAGCATACCCGACTTTGCAACCTACATTTTCGTGCCTGACCCATGGTCAGAGGTGAACCCTTTTTGTGAGCTCATGAAGGGTCGAATGCACTTGAAAACAATGAGACTGCTTGAGGAAGGTTGTCACCAATGCCCATGCAAAATTTCGACTGTTAATTTCATGTTGATTCAGAATTATTGACAAAAAAGCATGGCTGGTACCTGTGAACGAACTTTTGAGACACCCTGTATGCTTTTATGTAAGTGGTTTGTTTTCGGTATCCGACGGTATACAATGCAGGCTTATTGTTGCTCTAAATTTCCGTTCTATTGGCACTTCCTTGCCTGTATGTATTCTTATCCTGAAGGCCGCTGTTCATAAATCCCAACAACTTTACCTAGGTAGCCACCGTTAGGGTCGCCGTGTACCGTTATTGGTTGATGCAGCGGCCGTTGGCGTTTCGTAATTTCCGGCTGATCTCTCTCCTTGTCACGGTATTGTCTTTCATTGTCTACATAGCTTCTCTTACGTCGAGTACCTACTGACACAATATTCGCCGTATCTTCATTTTCCATATCCCCATATAATTACCCGTATTCTTTATGATCAATAGTCTGAAGAGTCCGATTTCTGTGTTCTAATGAGGGATTGACGACGATATACATTTGACGTAACAGTATGGCTGTTCTGTACAGTGTTACATTTCGGACATTGTTGTAACATCCTGTGTGCAATTTGTGCTACACGCAACGGTCTTACGAGCGCAAAGAGCAAGGTCTTCTATAGTTTCTTAATTATTGATTCAATCTCACTATGGATAGCATTTGGCTTGTGATCGGATTACATTGTGTAGCAATACCGATGCTGGAAAAGTGAACAATGTGGGGTTCCTGAGCGACATAGCTCCTGCGCTGTGCGCCGACAGTAAAGGGCTGTTTCCGTTTAGTATTATGCGTCTTCATTCAGCAAATTATCTGGCGTACCGCGTATTACACAAAGTTACATGAGTACCTAACGATTTTTAAGCCAGCTTACAGCTGCTTGCTGCCTTTAATCGTGCCGGAAAACGTAAAGTCGGTTCGACACCTTGCCGACGTGCATGATAAGTCATTTCAGCTTGACCTTCATTTTCTGACGAATGTTACCTTTACGATTCACATACGCGAACTATCCCCTCGCCTTTTTCACATAGGTATGACTTCAGTCAGTTGTTACGCCATCTGTCTATTGCGACATGAGCATCCTGCTATGACTTCGCCTTCTTCTTCTTCTTTATGGGTGTCGGCCTGCCGCCAGGGGCGATTTCGGCCGTGATGACTTCGCCTGTTTTTGTATGATCCATCTGTATTGTAATTAGACGTCACCTATCGATTATGACGTCATCCGTCTGTTACGTATCCTCCCCATGCCACTCTGTTACTGACTCTGTTTTAATCTGTTCTTTTCAGTGTTGCTGTCCATTTGTTCGCTGCTGTGTGACCCAAACCCGGACGATCCTCTCGTACCGGAGATCGCGCGCGTCTATAAAACCGACCGGGACAAGTATAACGAGGTGAGTCGGCCGCCCACGGCACGGGTTCGAATCCCACTGGAGTACTTTTTATTTGCGGTGTTGAAATGCATTTACAAGCATCACCGTTACTTTAATGCCCACTTCGAGCAATGCCGTTTCTGCTCATTTGACTTTTCAGAAACATCTTCCTTCTGGGGTATAGATACACGGGGGTATTTTAACGTAGTTTTAAACGTATCTGTTTTACGTGCACCATAGCTTTTTGTGTATGTTTATTTGCGTTTCGGTATCATTTCTATCGGGTAGGCTGTGTGCTGTGTCCGCAAAACACAAACACGTAGTCTCTGACTCACACTGGTGAATCACCTTCTTTGTTCGTTGTATGGGAAGTGACGCGGATCTCAATATCGCATGCTGTTTCCGGCGTTACGCGATATGTATTTTCGATGTTTTCACTGTTTTGCGCCATAGCCTGCTCCTCAACGCCCGCCATTTCATGATAAAACTAAGTTCTTGCTCTCTTGCCCATTGCTTTTTGACATGGTTTTCGCTGTTGGTTTCCTTGGGTGAATGGCATTCCTCGTTTCCCAGGGCATGTGTAATGTTCATAAGTGCTCAGTTCCACTATGTTGACTGTTCTTTCATGGGATTTTTTGTCGTTCAGAATTCCAGTTGGTATTCCAGCTATTCCATTCCAGTCTGCTCCATTATATGTTTAGTTTTTATCTCAAAGCAAGCAAATTTGTATCATGTTCCGAGCTGGTTTGTTCAGCCACACAAGTTGCCGTTGCATCCACTAAGGGCGGCGCCACCGTGGGGGCAGTGGGGGCAGACTGCCCCCACTGGCAGGAGGCCGTGGGGGCAAGACTATGTTTTTGCCCCCACAAAATTTGGTTGATGTTGAAAAGGGAACAGAAGACCAGTGCAACATTCATGATAAGCGGTTATAATAGTACGTCTGTTTTTGACGGTCCCCGTATCAAGTGCATCAGCAAAACGTTCGTTCTCGGACCGTTTGTCGCATATCTCCTACTCCCACTCATTCTCCTACTCATGTTCATTCACCGTGATTGACTCCCGACAAATCATCGGCGTCACTTGCTGGCTGTGCGTTCAGTTAGCGATGGACATTGTCTACAGACTGGTAGGCCTCAATCACCCTTAATCGTCGAGAATGGTCGCGTGCTGACTAAATACCAAGACGTACCCGTATCGTAGACCTCTATGTTGCGGCGTTAGCCGTCTCTGTAGGAAGCGGGCTCTCTAGCAAAAGCTATTTTGTCTACAGAAATTAGTTACTGTGGAGCATATTGCTACGAGCCATGGCAACCACGTAAGCTCAGTTACGAACCAATTCCAGCGTGCCTTTAAGCAAGAGAGCCTATAAACGTAAAGTTTAGGTGAAAACGAACTTATGGGACACCCTGTAGATATCCACACGAATCTCATGTGCTTTCAAAGATTTTTGGGATGTTTCGGTTGGTTTCAGGTTCAGTCCGAGCTCAGTCTGGGTTTCGGTGGTTTTGCCCGGTGTGTGCCCTCAGTTCCGTTCATCCAATTCTGGCCCAAGGCAACACAAGAGCGCTGCCGGCATCTAGTAATTAAGACATGTTTTCCCATCCTGAGGCTCTTAAATGAATGCTTAGAGCAAAATGGATGCCAGAATCGTGATCAGCGGCTACGAAATCATCACCAAGGACTTTTCACGTGTCAAAGTCAACCAAAGGTCATTCGAGGTCACATCACACATGAGTACCATAATAATTTTGAATGGCAACATCTAGGGGCAAGGTGCTCATGGATTTTGCAGATTTGCTTATCAGACAACAGTCGGGTCACCTCAAGCTTGCCCCCACTGGCGAAAATTCGTGGCGCCGCCACTGGCATCCACATTCTAACTCATGTATCGCCTTAAACACTTCACCACTGTCCGACCCGGCCAGTTCTCTTGGCCTCTCTCTCGTCCCCGCGCGGGTCTCGTACCCTCCCAGAGCGGCTGATAAGGGTCGGTAGTTCAGAGTTCACCCCGGTGACTCAAGCCGCTATCTGTACTCCGCCTGAAATCTCTCCATGACTCGGGTCGTTGGAAATCGCTCGCTGCTCTATAGGCGGCTTCTGATTCGCAGTTCATGGGTGTCGCGGCAGTTTGATCGTTTTCTGGGTCTAACTACTACTAACTACTACTCTAATCGTTCTTCGGCAATGGTAGATATTTTTCAGAGACTAGAGAATCATTTACTAAACAGTCATTTATTTCCTCCTTAGCTCAATACGGAATTCATTCATGGGCTGAACTTCGTTTCTGAAATAGTTTAAGACACAAACAACTATCTTCCTAACCTTTCTGTATTCTTTGCCAGGACGTTTTTAACTACTGTCGACATATATGTATTCTCATCTGTTATGCCTCCTGCATGTAATTTGCTACTCCAATTATCACTCCTGACTCCTCAGTTCTTACTTTTGTTCTGTCACTCTGACTCCCACTCTTGTGTTTGCCTCACAGACTCTGCTGTGACTCCCTACTTTAGTTAAAGTTTCAGACTCTCCTGTCGTTGGAACTAAAAACTGTGCTGTAACTCTCGTTTTGTCATTTTGACTCGACTGGTCTGTATCGGACTCCCGGTCCCTTACTTCGCTCTCTGAAACCCGTCTCTCCCCTCTGTAGCTCTGTAGACTTACACCTCTGTAGCTAGCTCTCGACTCTATTCTGACTGACTCTGACTCTGACTCTGACTCTCTGGCTGTCTGCAGGTTGCCCGCGAGTGGACGCGCAAGTACGCGATGTGATAGAAGACTAGCTGTAGCCGCGCCGATCGGACTGGACGGTCCGGAGCCCGGGCGCCCCTCTGAAACACCCCTCCTCCGGCCTCTCCAGTGGCACACTCATGTCGTCTGTTTGCCGCCTATTCACACGTCCTCTTCCCGTCTCTTTTTGGTTTCGTTTGGGTGAAGTTGGTATTGTATCTCGTGTTTATTCAATTTTATGTCGTCATGTTTCCCTGGCTCGCACCTGAACATGGAGTTAGCTGGTGGTGATCTGTCGTAGGCACGTGCCATTCTGTCGCGCACACCTCTAATGCTAGCTCAGCAAGACGGCTCTTGAATCCATCGGTATATCTGGTATAGAGCAGCACCCCACAAACACCTGTACGTCACAGGGGCTCTCGTTTCGTCTTGAAGGAAAGTGATGATCAGAGAACCTCCTGTATGGAATTCAGGCACTAGGTCAGGTTCTGAAGGACCAGGATGATTCGTGGGACGCATCTCGGGTTTCGATAGCAATCACCGAAGTGTCCGGAAGTGTCCAATTTCTCCGTGTGTATTTGTTTGGAAGGGGTCCCGTCTCACAGTGTGCTAGAGTTTGAATAATCAGAAGGAATATGTGCGCTATGTAAAAGTTCTGTCTTGGTCTCTGCCGCTCGCCAGCTTAGAGATATCTCATCCAGTTATTCACCGTGGTTGTTCGTATCTTAGGTTGTATTTATGTTTAATCTAAACCTTAATATCTAGGATCTAGTGATTTATCTGCCATTCTCTCTCCTTTTTCTCTCCCCTCGCCGTTTTCTCTGTCCTATCTGTCCTCGGGGCGAAGGGTTCCGGCCGGTCAGATGGTTCGCGTCCCGGCCGCGTGGCGGCGCCACCAGCGGCGGCCGCGCGCGACCACGCAAACAACTTCTTTTAATGCGCGTCGGAGGCTCGCGAAGGCGGCTGGGTGCTCGCGCTGTCTCACTCCCTCCCATCCTCACCGACCATCTCCTCCTCCTCCCCCTCTCCGTCTGGTCCTTTCCTCTGCCTCGTTCGTCTCCCCATCCTCCCAGGTCGTCTTCTACTGAACACATGTCTCTTCTACGCTCAGCGTCAACTGTGCTGACGAACCGCCGCCCGCCAGTGACGGACTCGAGAGTGTTCTCACTCCAGGCGGCTCTCTATTGTCCTCAAACATCCCCCTCCCTAAAGTCAACCGGCCGGCGCCCGCAGTGGCGGCCGTCATTTTGTACAGTGTGTGGTAGCGCCGCCGCCTCCGCCTCCGCCGTCGGCCAAGAGTTAGGAACTATTAACTCGTGAGTGGTGCTTTCGGTCGCCTCAGTCCTGAGCGCTGTGCTGTCCCGCGCGCGTGAGTGTGTCGCCGCTCGGTTTCGGTCGTTTGTTGTTTCGATTACTGTCTGCTGTGTGAAAAACCCCGCTGGATGATCACAGATTGTATCTCCGGAGCGGGAGGCGCCGTTGAAGAAAACACGGCGTTGTCATGGCGACCGGCGCCGCGCGCGCTCCACCAGTCGGCGCCATGTTTTGGCGCGTGATTTGAATAAAATGCGCGCGAAATGGGAGCGCCTGCAGAACTAACGGGCGAGCCGATCACTGGATACCTATCTGTTGCGCCGGACAATTTAAATAAAGCGTATTCCGTACACAGTACATGACCTCTCTTTGTGCGGGGGATATGCGGGCTAGTGAATGGAAATGAATAGCGATTTCACGTCGGTTTTGGTTTATTTTTGGCTTCAGTCGTCCTTTGGCGCTATTTTAGCTGTCTGTTCCGTTACCACGGCTGTGGGCTGATTTTTTACTGACTCCGTTAGAATGTTTCTGATAGAGGATTCTTCATGGCTCCGAGTGGAAGATAAGGATATCTTTTCCAAGCGGGTTACTGAAAAACCGAGCGACGCAGGAGCGAGGTTTTTCTGTAACACGCGAGGGAAAGATATCCGATCTTCCACGAGTGAGCCATGAGGAATCCTATATCTTTCTATGTTGAGGTTTATTCTTAATTAATTAAATATTATATTTAAGTGTATTCATCTATGTAACAAAGATTTAGAGTAGTTTGTTTTTATTTCATAAGTTTCATATAGAAACAGCCATTAAAAATGCCGTTCGGTTATTGACCCATCATCAGTTGAACTCTTGATTTTTGGATATGAACCCTCGAGAGTCCGAGACCTTATCTTTGCATCTCAGAGAGATGCAGAGATAACAAATTCTTATCTTTGCATCTCAGAGGAGTGCGAGATAGAAATACCCCTGCACTGTAGACCCAATGGCAAATAAACCTCAACTAGAAAGATAAATGCTTTTGACACCGCTGTTTGGTTAGTTAAGCTATTTCTTGTTTGCACACTTCTACTCCAGCTCTTGCTCCGCATCTGTTGTGTAAAAACAGCAGTGATTCAGCTGACTTACAAAGTTTGCCTAGCGTATGGTTAGCAGTTTTGTCGCATGCCTTGCGATACGTGCACACACAGCCTGTTAGCTCCGATAGTGTATCGCCCGCTGCAATATCGGTCACTGTTGGGTTTCAGGAGTCGGAACGATAACACTGCGTGATTCAGGGCCTGGCAAAGCTAGTTGTGGCGACGCTGGCAAAGTTCTACCGACGTCCATTGCTTGGAAGCAAAAGCGGAATGCTCTAAATCCACTTGAATCTCATTTGGAGAACGCCGGGTGGGATAAATTGTGATTCAATGCGACTGTTATGATGGAAACTGTTGACAGTCCTGTCACAACACGGGTGTTACTGCAGCCAAGCTGGTCAGTCTAAGAGCATTTGCGAAGATGGCATACGTTGCTGAGCAAGCGTTGATCGTGGTGCAGTCGTATGCCGGGAGATCAACTTCTAGTCAATGATAGATGTTTTTTTAGACACTATTCCACCCGATGAAGATGCCATTCGAATCGTTGCCATACTTATTTTGTTGAGGGTGAGACCGTGCGGGGACCACTTGTTTAGGCTGGATAGATGGAAATTTCCATACCTATGTGAACTCTCTACGCCAATGATGATATGCACCGAAAGTTAGAAGGATGTAGGCATCGAAATGAGCGAACTAGAACAGCAAAGCTGACATTTGTTTAGGTATAATTTGCACATAACCAGTTTATTCTTGCACGGCGCACATCAAAAAAAAAATTAACGAAATTCGTATCAAAATTCGTGTCAGTCGTATTTGCACAGATATGTGCAAATATGATTGACACGTCAAGCAACACATTGTTGCAATAGCCTACCACGAAAAAATCTCATCTGTCAAAGTCATATGCTCGCTTATATCGACGGTTCAACCGCCGACTCTCAATACCGTCGCTTCACTTTCAGTTAGGATGTACCGCATTTCAGCCGTAGTAACGAAACTGTCACAGGTGCATTCGTTCCTCGTCACACCGAGGCCGTGCTCTCATGACCAACTGGTGTCAGGCGCACGAAGTCACTGCAGTACTAGGTACACATTGTGACGCGGCGTTGTACATCACCGCAGTAAACTGTGACGTCACAGGTCGTCCACCTTGTGTTGGGTCCATGGGGCTGTCGAGTTGTGCGCATAGCTTTCAGGGGCTGCTCCGCTCCATTGTAGGGAAATGGAATATGTAGATCACGTCAGCGGAGAGTAGGCGCCCACCTGTGAAAGAAGGGGCAAGGAGGTTAATTATTAGTTGCCGGGGATTGGTACACTAACGAAGATCCTACGTAACACAGAGGCTGAGTGGCAACAGTTCTCACGACTTTCACCGTAAATCTGCTTGCAAACAGTGCTTGAGTGCTTTTTTAACAAATTAAGTCATGCAAGTTTTTAATATGCAAACGTTTGACTGTTCCAGCAACTACCACTAAATTTTCTCTGTCAGGAAACGAACCTGACGTCCAGACGAAAATATTCTGTCGGCAATGTGTTTCTGTGTGGTGTTACCTGTCGTGGCTCGGGCTGTGTGGTGCTGTACTACACCCCCTGTAGGTGTATTACCTGTCGTTGCTGTGGTACACCCCCTGTAGGTGTATTACCTGTCGTGGCTCGGGCTAGGTGGTGCTGTGGTATACCCCCTGTAGGTGTATTGTTACCTATCGTTGCTGTGGTACACCCCCTGTGGGTGTTTTACCTGTCGTGGCTCGGGCTGGGTGGTGCTGTGGTACACCCCCTGTAGGTGTATTACCTGTCGCGGCTCGTGCTGGGTGGTGCTGTGGTACACCCCTGTAGGTGTATTACCTGTCGTGGCTCGGGATGTGTGGTGCTGTGGTACACCCCCTGTAGGTGTTTTACCTGTCGTGGCTCGGGCTGGGTGGTGCTGTGGTACACCCCCTGTAGGTGTATTACCTGTCGCGGCTCGTGCTGGGTGGTGCTGTGGTACACCCCTGTAGGTGTATAACCTGTCGTGGCTCGGGATGTGTGGTGCTGTGGTACACCCCCTGTAGGTGTGTTACCTGTCGCGGCTCGGGCTGGGTGGTGCTGTGTTACACCCCCTGTAGGTGTTTTACCTGTCGTGGCTGGGGCTGGGTGGTGCTGTGGTACACCCCCTGTAGGTGTATTACCTGTCGTTGATGTGTTACACCCCCTGTAGGTGTATTACCTGTCGTGGCTCGGGCTGGGTGGTGCTGTGGTACACCCCCTGTTCATCCTCCTCCAGCAGAAGGTGCTGCGGTTTCCCCGGCCGGAACGATCTGAAACTGGGCAAAAACGAGCTCAGTAGACGACCACTTTGAGAGCGTCTTACATATGAGGTCTATCTTGCGACGGTAGTGATCTTCTCTCCCGAATCAATTTGGTCATACACGTCCCCGTGCCCCTGAATGGCAATGCACTTCCCCGTTTGCCGATTTCTCGACTCTGCTAACCGTCATGCGTGACCGCTATGTTACTTATTACTTCCAGCCTTCACCACGTGACGTGACCGGCCTGGCACTCTTGTGGTGTTATCACTGACATTGTTTACCCAACCAGTGATGCCATCGCCAGGTGACCTGACCTCCTGATATGACCACTGGCTTCGTAATAACCATTGGCGTCACATCATGTCCTGACCCCGTGACCTGCCCACGTGATCCCAATTAACCCACCTGAGGTCGCGGTACCAGGCGCCGACGACGAGTAGCAGTACCAAGCCGACGATGGAGCACATGATGACCGTCATGAGCGTCACCTGCCAGGTCGAGTGGGCCGCCTGCACCGGCGCCTCCCTGACCTGACCCTGACCTCCCGTCTCGGGCGGGGAGGCCTTGGCTGGTGAGAGGGGGACCCGGTTGGGGGAGAGGATGTCGTCGTCGCTGCCGTTCTCGTCCAGCGGAGATACCAGAGATGAGTCGGCCCCGAAGGCGTCGTCGTACACCCAGTCGTCGTCGTCGTCTTCGGCGCTGGAGGCTTTGGGGGAGGTGTCGCCGGCCTCCTTGGATTCCTCGGAGGAGCTGGAGGCTGCCGTGCCGGTCGTGGGCCGGGGAGCTGGCTTCCAGTTCGGATAGCGCATCGCGTTGATATCATCGCTGATCGTTTTCTGAATGGCCGCCTGCCTCTCCCGTTCATGCGCCTCCATCGCTTTGATATCCTGCTCAATCGCTGTTTCCAACGCCAGCTTCGCTTCGTCGCTCGGGACGCCCGCCTTCCGCTCGAATTCGGCAATCTCTCGCTGAATCTCGCGATGCTGTTCGAACTTTCTCTGGTCCACCGCCCGATGAGCGGCGGCGTCCGCCTCAACAGCAATTCGCTCGATCGCCTCCTTCTGCCTGCGCTTATACTCGGGCGTGCCCATCTCTTCAACCTCGTGAATATCCCTCTCGATAGCCTGCTCTAGCGCCATTTTGTCGGCGTCGGTGGGCACTCCGGCAGCCTGCTCGGCGCGCGCGATCTGGCCCTCGATGACGCGCTGCTGGGCGGCCTTCGTCCCCGAACCGTGCTCCCGCTCCACGGTTTGTATGTCGTCCTCGATCGACTGCTCCAGCGCGAGTGAATCCTCGTAGGAGCGTCGGGAGCGGCCTGGCTCGGGTGCTGCCGGCGGGGAGCGCTGTTTGAGCCTCATCATGTGTAGGACGGCGCTGAGGCGTGTGGTCAGGGTCCTCCAGTGGCTGGCCGAGGGCGACTGCTCGCCCGCTGCGGGAGAGCGAACATCGGGAAAGGGTGATGTGATTGGTCTGTTTTGCCTGAGCTACTGGTTGTTTTAAAATAGTCCATTTGATAAGTCATTAATTTATTCATAAATAATTTAAATAACTGTCTGTGAATTCGGTTCCAAACATTGAGGCCTGATTATCATTTAAGCATTAGCTGAGCAAGCTTTCACATCCCATTTCGTGATGCATCTCAAACGTTTTTTTAACGCTAGACGTTTAACAGGAATTTGATCCTCCTTGCGTTTTCGAGCGAAGTTAGCAAAATCAAAATACGAAGTTGGCACGATCTTCTAAAACGAACCTTTGACGTCGCTCCCGCTGTCGATGCTGTGTCTGTGAACTCCGCTGACGTCATCAGTGACGTCATTGGTGCTACTGTGGCGACTCTCGATGACTGCTCCATGACTCAGTGTGCCTGTGAGTCAGAACATGTCCATCGTCACTATCGAGAGACAGTTCTTTTTTATGACAGGACAGCCAGCCACGCAAACGGTCACTGGAGCAAACGGCCGACGTTGGCTGTCTGGCCCGTTGGCCGCTAAACCGGTACCAGAAAGTGAAAGAAGAAATGATGATGCACTGTTCTGAGTAGTAATGTAACGGATCGTTTCGTGTCCATTTATTCATCGGTCGTACTCACTCACCGAAAAGTCCCAGGATCAGACAGGTCAGGAGCAGAATTCCGCTCATCGAGCAGCGTCTCCGGGTTTCCATGACAACCGGTCGGTACAGCACAGCTTCACACTTGCAACTTCACACTCGCACTTCTCACTTCACACTTATTTTACCCCCGTCACTTCACCTTACTCTATCGTCCCCAATAGAACTCCTGTCTTTATGAAGAGTGATCCCCAGCTAAGCTCACCACATACGCATTTTTTCAAACAACTCCCCTTTGAGTTATAGCTTTCTCTGCGCAGAGTTTCTACACGTACCACCTATAAGGTGCCCTCCCAACTGTTCAACACAGCGCGGTATAACTTCTCGCCGTGCCTTTACCGCCCTGACGCCTATCTCGGCGTACACCGGGGACGATATGACCACGCTATCGGAGCGGCTGATAGCGTCCGCAGAGAGCGGCGATTGTGGCGCAGGTGAGACACGGTCGGTGTCGGCGGGGTAGCACCGGACGAATACCGGGGGCTGCGGATGGGTCGGGATTCAGACGGGACGGGAGCTGTGTGGGACGGAAAGGGGGAGGGAGGGGGAGTGGATCAGACGGGCGGGCTCAGGGAAGCTGTAAAAAACGTGTTCATCTTTTTTCTGATCGGAAGGCATTATTTTAAGAATAAGTGTGTTGTTTAACTACTACCAAGACTGTCCTGGGCTTATTCCACTTGATCCGACGTGGATGGGTAGGGGATCGTTTGGCCTTGGGTCGGGTCGGCCGGCCGGATTATTAAGTTCTCCAGACACCGGCTGCGGGACCAGCGTCCAGCCTTCATACGACCTCCGTAGCTCCTAACCTCCATACATACAGCCTTCATGCATGGGCCAGCCTTCATACAGCCTCCATACAACCTTCATACATGGGCCAGCCTTCATACGACCTCCGTAGCTCCTAACCTCCATACATACAACCTTCATACATGGCAGTTTTTATTGGCAGCCTTCATACTGCCTTCATACATTAGGCTGTATGGAGGTTGTAATTATTACAACCTCCATACAGCCTTCATAAATACATGGGCCAGCCTTTATACTGCCTTCATACAGCCTCCATACAGCCAGCCTGCCTGGGCGTCATCCGCCGAAGGTTCTATGTAGGTACGCATTGTACAGAGATGACGAACGGCGGCCGGCGCATCGCCAAAGCCTGCAGGATGACGTCTTATGACGCGTCGATCTTCCTTCATCAGGACACCATCATCAGGAGCGGTACGTCCGTCAGGAGCGGCACGGTGAGCCGTCTGATACCCTCGAGGGACCCGCAGGGCACCCTGAGGCTTTGATGAGGAGCGGTGGGGTTAACCCGCGCTCCGCTGGGGGTCCTGGATTTCCACGCCCTGCTGGGGGAGGGGGTGTTTGAACAGGCGCCTTCTAACTCGTCACCTTGGCCACGTAGCGATACGGGGAAGGCGGTGTTCGAGAGAGCGCCAAAAATAATGACGATATCACTTTGTAATTTTTTATCAGGTCATCAAAGTTCAGGTCACCAGAGGCCATTGAAGGCAAAATTTCGCCGATTTTCAGGTCTACTGTCGACAATTTCCAAGAAGCCAATGCAAACTCGGGAACCAAAAGAGCTACAGCGCCGCGGAAAAGCGTATCGGATAGCTCTATAGGTAAGCGCTCTTTCCGACTTCTGAGTATTCTCTGAGATTTGACCTAGCATCAGCCATCAGCGGTTTTGCCTGCAGGGGTAAAAACTGCCAAAATAACATATTTTTTTTCGGAAACAGTTTTTCTTCGATGACTTTTGACTAAAGCCTTGCACGAGCTAACTTTTACCGGGATTTACCGGGAGTTCTTTCGTCAAGACGCATCGAAGGAACTATAATTTGACCTTGAAAGATCAACTTGAAAATTTCACCTCATATCAAGGCTATGACCTGACCGAGAAGTACTCGTTGGGAGCATAGGCGCGGGAAGCGGGGGGACAGGGGGCAGCTTGCCCCCCCCCCCCAAACTCTGGGGCCGTGGGGGCGGTGCCCCCTCAACTTTGAGACGAAATACCGCACTTTTTTGCAAATGTTTTCTTTTTTGCTGAAAAAGCCAAGGGATGAAAAATAAGTGGCCTAAAACCAATGAGAAAACTAGATTTGGGGGGACCCTAGGTTGATCTCTTTTATGGTGTGCCCCTCCCCCCCCCCCCCCCCCGGTTTGGAAGTAGTTCCCGCGCCCCTGGTTGGGAGTTATCGTTCGGTGTCCTTATCTCAATTGCTTTTCGAGATAAAGTTGTGCGGCCAAATACGCTCTTCCCTCCCCCGCTCCCTTCCCCCCCCCCCGCCGGCCGCCGCACCCCCCCCCCCCCCCCCCCGCTGGCCGCCCGACCCGTATCCACCAGCACCAGCTGTGGCGTATAGGTATAGCCGGCTGAGACCGGCCGACCGAGTTTGGTTGTTCGTCGGGCGTCCGGGTTATGGCTAATTGCTGATTATTGGGATAGGTTTGCAGCCAATTGTTCGGCCTAATTGTGTCTTATTCGTACACTGGCTGATGCTGAAAGGGAGTACTGCACATTGCAGGGCGTTCTCTTCCAAAAAAGCGTCCCAAGTTATCCAGACTCCTCCGATTTGGGTACCTCATGCGTCGCTGAGATAGTGAAAGTAAGACCTTTTCTTGTAAAAATTGCTGTTTTGTTGTCAATTAACGAAAAGCGACAAATTTTGAACGATTTAGGAGGCTGCCGAAGGGGCAAATGCACCAGATACCCCCCTCCCTGTGAGATAATCAGATATTTTTGCAATCGATTTATCACACATTTCACTGTTTGACGGCGCGTCTTCTGAAGCGGCCGGGTCGGCGGCGACCTATCAGGGGGCCGCCCGGTCACCGCTCCGCCAATCAGGTGGCCGCTTATTCTGACCAATCAGCGGCCGCCCCGGTCGGCCCACTGCCGCCGGCTGACCTCGAAATGGGCAACGGAGCGGAGACGTCACGTGCATTGTTTACGTTCATTGACCCGGCGGATTATCAACGATTGAATTTTTCTGGTTTGATATTCCATGACTGACTGAAGAGTCGTGATAGAATCAAAGGCGAGCAACAAGTTAACCTTCATTGTTACTCTTATCAGCGTGCCTGCAATTTAAAGGTAAGTTATGCCTATGAGTGAGATTTTCCGCTAATGATGATTCCACTGGTGCATTCATGTGTAGTTTTGGTATCATGATGTTGCGAACAGTGGCGGCGGAAGCAGGGGGGCAAGGGGGGCAGCTGCACCCTAAAGCTATGGAAAGGGGCGCCTCTAAAATCTGTAGAGAAGGCAGGAAGTTAAGAGGTGCGGCAGCCATAAAGCTGAGCAGTGCGACACCGCAACTGATAAAGGCACTTGTGACACGAAGAGGGTGGCAATGACGTGGGAAAAGTATCTTTTGATATGCTGAAGATTGGAGGGCATCCTTATCTGAAAAAAGGCAGATGCTGCCGACCCTGTCGAATATAATCTTGCCAGGCGATTAAGGCTAGGAGGGCGCAGCCACTCGAGAAGCGTGCCATGCGGAAGAGGGGCGCCTGAATGCGAAAGAGGGGCGCCTGTGTGTGGGACGAAAAAGAAACATTTATGGAGACGTCTTTGAAGGCGATAGCCTCCGAACGCCAATGCACGAACATATGAGGGCTTATAGCGTTGCAGGCTCCATGCGACAAAAAGGGGCGCCTGATGGCCGATATGCGAGAGGAAATTAGTTTGTGTAACATTTATCGGGGGCGGTTTGCCGCTTACAACATATGAATGTTAAGGGAGGTCCGAGATTGGGGCCTGTAAAATTGCACTGTCCGTATGGGTGGTTACACCCCTAGTGCTAGGGCATATTTTGCGTTTTTTTTACTGAGGAGATGATTATGACCAGGAATAGCACTCTGCAAACTTCTATGGGCGCCTGTATAGGGGCGAAACTGATTTTCCAGTGCAGGGACGGCCATCGGCATTGTGGGGCGGCATTCATTCCACTGGGGCGTCTGCCAGTGTTGAAGGGCGGTATTCATTTCAATGGGGCGCCCGTTGGTGTTGATGGGCGACATGTATCACCTGGGGCGCCTATCGGAGATTGGGGCGGCATTAATTTCACTGAGGCGCCTATCGGCGTTGACGGGTGGTATTTATTCATCCGGGGCTTTTATCGGTGGTATAGGCCGGCATTCCCTTCACTGAGGTGCCTATCGTTGTTTTAACCCTCGCCCATGTAGGGGGGGGGTTGGTGCAACCCCCCTGAGGTTTTTCTTAGGTACACGCCGAACCGTTTCAGATAGCTTGCTCAAACTTTCAGTACCCTTTGGGGCATCCTTTGCGCAACTTTTGGTATTTTTTGTCAAGGTCATGTCAGGTCACGGAGTTATGACGTCATAAAGAGAACAACCTCCGGCCAGATTTACGCTAAATTGGAGATTGCTTCACATTGGTATAAATGCCGATTGACCTGACACACTGATGGATTGTTCTAGAATCACAACTGGCTGATTTAACATTGGCACAATGTCCGTTGACATTTTGAAGGTTACTTAAGGTCAAGGTAAGGTCAGTGACCTCGGTTGACCTGTAATGACTTCTTGCACTTGTATGCCTTTTCGGGGTATTTTGATGCCCTGAATTCGAATTTGCTATCCATTTCAGGCATCGTCGATTGTTCCTTGTAGTTCATTTTGGGTCAGGGTCAGGTCAGTGACGTCACACGCCTGACGTGACCCAATGCACAAATGACCTTGCAGACTTCCGATGCTCCCAACGCATCATTTTTAGAGTTATGACATCGAAATACACACCAAACGATAGAGAATTGATCAAGGATCACGATAGTGAAGGTTTTAAGTCGATATCTCTTACCGTTGTGCCGCAATCGGCGCGGAAATCTGAAAAAGTTAGATTTTTCCGAAAATTTGACCTGTGACCGGTCATAAGTAGGTCAAATGTTGACCTAGGACCAAAAAATATACCACAAATCGCGAGATCTCGTTGAGAGCAATCCGTTGGTCTTTTCCGCTAAGCTCTACGACGCTCCGTTTTCAAACGCCAGGGGGGGTCGCACCAACCCCCCCCCCCCGCCTGCATAGGCGAAGGTGGCAAAACACCGTTTACCTACGGGCGAGGGTTAAGGCGGCAGTAAATCCACTGGTGTCTGGGGCGCCTACCGGCGTCGAAAGGCGACATTCATAATTCATTTCACTGGGAGGCATATTGGTGTTGATGTGTAACATTCATTCTCCTGGGGCGCCCGGCAATGGTAAGGGGCGCCCAGCGGGAAGGGGCGCTTCAATATCGTTTGCACCCCTATCCTAGAATACCTTCCGCCGCCACTGGTTGCGAAGTGCCTACCGTGATGAGCAGATTTGCGTCTTGTGCTTGCATGGGTGCTCGATTTTGATTTTGTTTGC